ACTGGAAAATATGAGGTGAAGTGCCCAGAAGTCATGTGACACCAGTAAGCTGCACACGGCACGTGCATGTTTTCCCGCCCCGGCCAGTATGTAATGTGAAGGATGCCACAGGGATGACCAAGTTTCCAAATTGAACACCGTTGATTTCAGCTTTCTCTATATGGAGTCCTCACTTGCTCCTGTCTGGGAAGCAGTGTGTGTTTGTCTCTTGAAGCCTTGACGTCACATTTTCCCCTTTTATTTCCCCATTCAAAGAGACACTCCACATATAAAGTTCAGTTTCCACAGGGAGTGGAAGAAACAGTTAAAACTAAACAACTGTGACTCTGGAGGGAGATTTCAAAAGTTTGACAAAGCAACCCTGCTGATGTCATGATGATGTCATCAGGGTTGACTCAGATTTGGCTTACCATTTTTAGCAGAAGGTATTACAAACTGGAGGTGTGGCGTTTGAAAGAAATGGACATTTAGAAGGCAGGCAGGTCTAAAGAAAGACACTATTCATTGCATTATGGGAGATGTAGGATCCTGTGTTTTTGGAGCTTGACCTATACAAGGGACTAAAAATGAGGATATCTCGGCCTCTGCTGCTTCTATTGTGACCATTCTTAGTATAACCTGTCTCATCAGTCCGCAGACTTTATGGAAGGGCAATGCTAAATCACTGGAGTATCCCTTTAAGGTTGGAAAAAACATGTTATTTCTCACTTTATGACAGCATCATCTATATTCTGTACATTGTTCATTGAAGCTACTGTGTATGATGTTTACTCTGTGAGTGAAATATTCAAATCCCAGACTCTAGAATTTAAAATAAAGTTCAGTGGCTTTTAATGATGTTTGGTTCTAAAAATGTTTAAATGACTGACCCACCAGCCAATGGGGTTGAATTTTATCATTTTATATCAGCAGAAAAGTGTCCATACTACAGACCAGAGTCTCCCAACTTTTTTGGCTTGTTACCTCAAGATGAAGACACTTGTAACACCTTGTCCCAAGTTGTGTATGCCTGTGAGTTGCGAGCATTTTGAGGAATTTTCCCTTCTAATCTCAAGGTATTCATTTCTAAAATATCTAAAACTATCCAGCATTTCATAAGAAAAACTTGCAGATTTTTTGCTAGGTCTGACATTTTAGCCCCTGTGTTTCAGGTTACAATATCGCTTGCTGTAGCTTGCGATTTTCAGTTTCAGTTACATTATTTGTGCAGTAAGATTGCATAGATTTGGTTGTCAGGACAAGGAGGTTAGTATCACTCTGTAATGAGGACAAGGAGAGATGCAGTTCTTTCATTCATGATTGAAGTGAGCGTTTATGGGGGGAGGTTATATATGTGGATTAGATTCCTCAGAGTTATGATCTGGAACAGTGAGCCTTGTAGTGGACATGTGTCGGCGTGGGCTGGACAGGCGAAAGGGAGTGCCCGGCTTCTATGGCCCAGGATAATGTCTCAATTCTGCCTGGCTGAGCTTCCTCACTCCTGACTTACTTTGTTTTTTGAAGATACATACATGACTCCAGTTGCCTGTGTATGTGGGTCTACGTGTCATTTTTATTCAAAGTGGTTTTAAAACTCTGTATGAAAGTAGTAGAGACAGAAAGAGAGCAAATATGTGTGTGCGTACAAGGGAGACAGGAAGCAACAAGGGGCCCACTCTCAGCCGCAAAGTGGTAGTAGTGACTAAAAAGAGTCAGTATACAGGGAAAGAAGCTTACTGCAATATGTGTGTCCCTGTGTATTTAAACTTGGGGTATTTAAAACTTAACACATCACCAATATAAATAAATGTGTGAAATGTAGCTTGTGTGAATATATTAATGCTATTGCTGTGAAGATGTTATCTTGCTTGTTGCATCTCTGTAATAACAACAAAGAGCTGCTGACGTGAGTTAGAGTTTCCACTTTTAAGTGGCCTCTTTAAAAGGAGATTATTTTCCCACTTCAATTTTATCTCCCCTTCTGTCTTTACCTCTGCGCAGAAAACAGCCTTAAGTGCAAGTGGCTACAATCAGCTAAAAATAGGAATCACAGTAGAAAACACATCATTTGTTAGTGTTTATGATTTCACAAGCTCATGTAGAGCTTTTAGGTTTCTGGTGAGAGTCTAATAGCAGTGTGTCTCATGATGTAACACACGGGGGTCATGGGTTTCCTGCAGGCTCCATGTGAGAGAGCCATTCCTCTGTAGCAGCTTAACCCCTTTTTTTGACATCAGTTTGTGATCTGACATGAAAATACTACAGAAATACGACATTTTTTATACAGGGAATACCTCATTTATACATGTGTTGTGTAAAAGTGACTTCTCAGGGGTCTTAATCTGGTCATCTTCTGTGATTGGGATGAAGCTTGTATTATTGTTCCACTTTTTATTTCCTTTTGCAAGCAAACATGGCAAAGGCACGTCACAGCATATGGGGTGCAGAGAGGTTGAAAATAGTTGACACACTTTTGACAAAGTCTCACTGCTCTGGATCTTCAGTGTGCTGCGCCATCTGGTGCTTTGTGAAAGCTACAACTTTAGTGAGGACATCGTGAAGGCTCACAAAATGTCAGAAGGCTCAGAACATGATTCACAACTCCAGCAGGTGTGGTGCACTTTTGGCGATCTCTGCTGGTGATCGAGCAGGACTGCTACTTATAGTGAGGTTTCAAGGGCTGGTTCAGGAAATCACCTGATTACATTACAGAAGAAAGTTTCAAGTCAAATAATAAAAAGAAAATTCCATAAATTATTTAGTGTTTCTTAGGTTTTACTGTACAGCACTGTAATGACTTAGTGGGTGGGATCTTATGGAAGGCCCTATGTTGACAGCATCAAACAGGGAGGTCCGTTAAGATGTCTAATCAAAACACAATATGTACTGTATGTATGGCCTCCCTCTCAGCGGCAGTGCTTTAAAGAGATGGAGGAATGGTCAAAATCGATGCAGCAGAAGGTGAGACATTTTTAATTGTTGATATTAGTCCTTGGTATGGGTCAATTAAAAAAACTCTAGATTATACTACACTTCCCATAATGCAGTTCAATATTATCTCTCCCTTAGAATCTTCCTGCCTGTTAAACACACACCTTTACTGAACTTTACACCCTCACTTTTTAATTGAGCGCTTCTGTTTAAAATTTCTAGTGTCAACCCCATGACGAGATAACCTTGGTGACATCACTGTGACATCATTTAGCACACCTGCCAAAGCCCCCGCACAGGCACAGCATCTAAATGTTTTTCAGGCTGGGCACTTCTCCCCATGACAAGTAAATTGACTTTGACATTTAAAATCAGTAGAGTGCCTTTAATTCCAAATACCAACAATTTCTCTCCATTTATTTTTAATTTTTTTTTTTACTGTAAGTGCTTGAGAGATGCCTCTTAAGCACTTACAGAAAAATGTGAAACTTGAGTATTAAATAAAATTTGGTCATTCACTCATACAAGTGACCACACTCTGGAGGCTAAATTCAAGCATGTTAAAAGATCCTCACACAATAGAACTGGAAATTGAAAATGAAAATTATTTTGTTAAAGAGAATGACAATGGAGTTCATCACTATTTGTGCCGTGGGACACATGTAAATTGTATTAGGGGTAAAATTATGCCTCACACAGCAAACAACGCATACAAAAAGTTCAGAGAACAGATTACTCCAAGATTTCAAGCAGCATGTACTTGGGCACTAAAGGAAGGAGGGATTTCCCCCTTGTGGAAGAACGCTACAATTACAGTCATACCCAAATGAAGGAAAAGACTAACTAGACAGTGGTCAATACATACCATTTTCATTACTAATTTTGACTAGAAAATGTATACATCAATATTAGCTAAAAGACTGGACAACATCAAACTTGGTCATTCGGGCCTACGGGATATATGTGTCAAAGACAGACTCAGGACAGTAGTGTTAATTGGGTTGGATGCAGAGAACGCCTTTGGTCCATTGGTCTTTGCTACGTCAATGTATATAATGTATATAAAATAATTAAAATAGCTTCGCCTCAAGCAGCAGTAATAAAGTGTGGCTTACACACTGATGCATCACTATTAAGAAATTAATAATTATTATTATTATTATTAAGTAGATTTTTTAATTAGGGACTTTTGCTTGTATTTTTAAATTGTTGTCTTGGTATTTTTATTTTTAGTATAGGATGAGTACTTCTTTCACTTATGTACCAGTGTGTATCTGTAACAATAGTCAATACTGTTGTAATGAAGCTGCAAAAAATAAATAAATAACAATAATCTCGTCATTGGGTTAAAGCTTCATGTCCTTCCCTCATAAATCACAGTACACTAAAAACCCTTCCAACAGTGTTACTGTGGATTTCCATTCATCCACAAACAGCCAGTTTGGCCTGAGGCAGTAATAAAACAACATGTGCCACTTATTTTCTGTGCTGACATTGACCAGCTGAACAGCTGAGTGCTGATAGTAACGATGTTATTGTCAATGCAGTATGGCTGAAATCCACAAGGACCCCACCCTCTGTCCCTGCCCCTGCTCTCCAAACATACACTTGACTCATCTGTTTGTTTGTCTTAACTGCTTTCCTCAGGTACTCGGCTATAATGGGCACTGGCACACAATCCACACCTCTGTGCTCACACATCCCCAGGTTGTGTCACATTCCAGGGAACATGTTGAAACACGAGCGCTCACTGAAACCAAGAAGAACATAATCACATGCTCTTTTCATTCTGCAGCGCCAACAGAGGAATGTCATGTTTCCACTTCAGCTGCAGGGCGACCTGATCTCTGGAACATTCTGTCAATCCTTTGAGCATAGAAAGTTTGTTGAAACTAAAGCCGTTTTTCTTCCTGTCCTTCTCATAAAGCTCAGCTGCAGGGTGAAAAAGGTTTTTATCAGTGTTGTTGCTGTTGTTGAACACCCAGGAGCTGGCAACTGTCTGATCACACCTCTATCCTCATCTCAAATATCCTATCAACAGCTCCACTTTTATATTTCCTGCCACATGCCTCTCACTGTTTTCTTTTCTCTTTTACTTGATCCTGTGTTGCCAGTTTCTCATTCAATCCACCCTCTCTCTCTTTCTGTGTGTGTGTGTGTGTGTGTGTGTGTGTGTGTGTGTGTGTGTGTGTGTGTGTCACTGTATGTCGATCAACCAGTCATGGCAGTGACATGTGGAATTTTTCATTACCGCGCCCCAGGGGCACCATGCTGTCTGTGCCTGTGTATCGTGCTTGCATTTTTGCCCCCACTCCTGCCGTCTCATTCTCTCTCTCTCTCTCTGGTATTATTCTGAGTCAGCCGGTGGCGAGCTGTGGTTTGTTGTTTGTTGTCCAGCCAGCTGTATGGGGCAGTAGTACCTGTCAGTGACTGATCTCCTCTCCATGGCCTGCCGTCTCTCCGGCTCTGGCTCCTACACCGTGGTTATCATCCCCCTCAGGACCAGCCTCTACAGCCTGGACGCACTCCGCTTCTACCTATGGGTGAGGAGGGAGGTAGTGTGTGTGTGTATGTGTGAGGGGGTTGTAGAGGGCGATATGAGTGTGCATGTCTGTTTTGAAAAATTACCCTAATCAGTTACATCTCCTTCTGTCTTTGTTGCATGTTTCTCCTGAGCTGGTGATTCTTATCAGCCACCCAGCGTACCCACATGTGTTTTGCTTCCCAGTTTTCAGCACAACATGGCTGTACTGTACAGGCCATTTTTTGTTAAAAAGACCACACATCCAAAGTGTGACTTTACTCAAATCAGGTATTTACTGCTTCTCGAGTCTGTGTCACCAATTTGGCGCATTTGGCTAAGGTGCATTTATGTGACCTTTTCTACTCTTCTGTAATGTGGAATGAATGGTTAATGTCTCTTTTGGGTTATTATGTAGAAGAAGGTGCACAATTTTTTAATAAAGTTTCTATTGAAATTTTAAGTGATACCAAAGGAGGTTAAATTTACACATGTACAACATAAACTGTATTTAAAAACATGTATATGTTTATACATTGAGATCATAGTTAAAGTTGTTGTTGTGCTGGACTGCATATTATATTATACTGATAGGTGTTTCTTATTTTCTGTCCTTCCCCTTTACATACATTCTTGAGTGACTTTACAGCGTCTTTACATATGTTTACATGTTTGCAAGTGTTTGGGATCACCTTGAGACTACCAGCAAGTACAAGCATCTTTGAGTATTTGAAAAGCGCTCCGTAAATAAAATGTATTATTATTGAATTTATTATATGTCAAAGTTCATTGACAACAGAATAGTCATAGCCATCAGATATTGTAAAATACTGAGATCATTATTCCAAGTGCCTGCGGTGCACCACTTAAAAGATATTTACCCGACATCAAAAAGAGTTAAAGTCATTAATTTGATTATTATATTTTATTGATCCAGTCAATCTGTTATATAGTATTTTCTATAAATTTTGTTTCCCAACATGGAGGTCTAAATGCTGTTTTATTCCTGTGCCAGGCATAAATTTCTGGTAGAGAAATTCTGTATTCTTCAAATTTCTGGTAGAGAAATTCTGTATTCTTCATTTATTTATTTTTGTTGCCTTTAAGTAAATTAATATATTGTATTAGGCCTAAAATGGCTGGAATCAGCATTTAAAATACATAGTATGTGTAACTTTAAGACTCCACACAAATCCCCACATTCCCAATAGAAAAATATTGATGACTAAACTGAGCTTTACTGGTTAAATTACAGCACTTACTGTGTATTTTTGAGACAACTGAATTATTCATGTAAATACAACAGGAGTTTGCTTTTCATACTGGACATTTAACTTCAATGCTTTTGCAACTGTTTTCACTCAGTTTTTCATCTTTGCTCCATGTCTGGGTGTTGTCTTGGAGGCAGCATGGATGCCGTCATCCCAGTGACACATTCCCACATGTCAAGTCTGCCCCTCACAGCTTCCTGTTAAAGGCTCAATATATCCAGTTTTCCACTAACTGTGGCTCTATGGTTATAAATGGAGCTGCCGAGCGGCAACTGACCAAAAGGAAATTGCAATAGATTTTAGATTGTCGTGGTAGACATACAGCTGTGATGTTACACAAAACACAGTAATAAAAAAATATCTTTTTTACATTTGTTGAAAATTTTAGTGATCAAACGCATCTAAAATAAACCATTCACTATTGAAAATTATAGTATGACTGATTTCCTGACCTCATGATACCAAAGGTGGATCAGCACCACCATATATTATGGTTCCCTGGTTGTTGTAGCACTGTTTGAGGCCATTTAAAGTGCACGTAACCCATCCAGTGTAGACAATAGAACTAAAGGCACCCCGCTGCTCTTTAGGTGTAAACAAAGCCTTGGGGCCTCTGGAAGACAACAGGCAGCGCTGTGCCGATCACATTGCTTTACATCAAGCTGCAGGCTACACTTTCGGTGGACAAGCTTGCTGGTCAGCTCCACTGGTAAACACACACATAACCATACAAAAAGAAGCTATACAAGCTATAAGAACAGCTATATCGTCAAACTCAACATTTAGGATTATTTTGTAAGTATTGGTTGGTACTTTGCTGCTTTATTAGATAGTAGAAAGTGGAAATGTGACAGGACATGACATGTAGCAAAGGTCATGGTGTCTCTGGCTGAACTTGACCCGGGGTGGGATCCCGTGGTCAACATTTAAGACCCCTCGGCTACTAGGATGCTCCAACATTTGCCGGTTTGTTGGTACAAGATACAACTTAAAATTAAGTGCTTCTGTCCTTTAAGGGAACCCGATCAAGCCCTTTCCTTCCCATCTCAGATTAAGCGTCTGAAGGATCTAGAGAAGGAGAAGGACGCTCTGTGCTCCGGTCTGGAGATCCTGGAGAAGACTCGTCTGTGGTACCTCCAGCAGCTGGAGGAGAACAGAGCCAGGCAGGGTAACATCGAGACCAAAAGTGGGGTCGGCTCCTGCAAGGAAGGTGCAGCAGAGGTACAAGGCAGGGCTGGGTTTGGGGTTTTTGTGGCATTGAACACAAACTGATTGTCCAGGGAGCCGTGCCATTTAAAGGCTACATCCACACACAATTTTAAGAGCATAGACTGCCTTTAAGGGTCCCTTAGAATCTTTTAGGGAATCACTAACTTCAAAATGGATTTAGGTGAGACAGTGACAACAGTACTCTTCAACAATCATCTGCTCACGGATGGCACAATATGAAGGACTGTGCCCTGTCACTTACGATGTCTCTAAATAGCCGCCGGTCTGTTTTTCTACAGGCTCGGTCTTGCCTCCTCAGGTGTCGTATCCAACGGGTGAATGGCTCTCTGGGCTCTGTGATGAGTGAGCCCAATGCCACAAGCAGCAGCAACCCTTCTCTGCTGGATGCAGTGGCAGACAGTGACCTCCGGTGGCAAAACACAGTACTGACTCAGGTAAGAATAACAGAAAAGGTTCTCAGGTTACATATTCTATTTAAAAATCTTCAAACACATTTTTTAAAACTATTCTGTGGTAACCTATCTTTAATATATATAGTATATCTTAGGTCAATTCTCCTGTTTATGTACATGATTTTTATTTCACACTTGTGAAAAAGTCTGTTTCACATGCCAATAAAGCCCTATTGAATTGAAGTGAATTGAGTGTTTTTTCTCCTTTAGCAGATCTCTTAAGTGTTCCATTATTTTTAATTGATTGGTCTGTGCCTTTATGAGATGGCCATGGTAATTCAGTCTTATTTGTCTACTTCTGACAGGAGGTGAGTGACAAGAATCTTCAGATCTCCATGTTGGAGCTGGAAAAAGATGCTCTCCTCGAACAGCTTGATGAACTGCAGGCCCATTGATTGCATTAATACACATGTGCACATGCGTACAGGCAGGCACTTGAGCTGCACTGCAAACTTTCACACAGTTGCCAACTTTCAGCCACTTGTAAATATGTATTTAAATTAATAAATGACAGTTAAAGGATGCAGCATTTGCTTCTGTGGGTTCTTTTCGATGCAAACCAATTTTGAAGGGTTGAAAAACTTGACTGACATGTTACTGTTACTGCCACAATGAGTCTGTAACTGCCTCTATCATAGCCAAGCCCTGCTGTCATTGTGCACTATGAAATAACTTCCCAACTACAAAAGCTGATCACATAATAGGAATTTGCAGTTAATCTCATAATAGGCCCATAAGTTTCCCATAAAGGTGATGATGATAATAATAATAATATTTTCCTGATGATGTAATAATTCTATCAATATTGGGATTTATTAAATTAGCAAAAGGCTAAGATTGTCAGCTTTTAAGTACAGTTTATACTCCTTAAGTTAAGTGTGTGAAATAGATGCAGGGAGTGGACAAAATACACCTTACAATACAACATGCGTTGTGGAAAAGGTAGAAAGTACATTTACTCAAGTTCTGTTCTTAAGAACAATTTTGAGGTGTTGGTATTTTATTTGAGTATTTCCTTTTTATGCTTCTTTATAATTCTACACCACTATACTGTATCTCAGAGGGAAATATTCTACTTTTCACTCTAATTTTTAAAATAAAAGCTTTACAAAATCTATTTGTTTATAAAATATGATGTATTTCTGCAAATTAACCAAAATGTATATGACGCAGTTAAAATGGTTCTATCCTGACTTACTACAGTACTACTTGCATGTTAATGCATCAACAATAATAATCCAATAACAGAATATATAACACTAAATGGGACAATTCTGCATAATGAGTAGTTTTTCCATGTGATACTTTATGCACATTTTGTTTACATTACTTCTACACTTTTACTTAAGTAAAAAAAAAATGAGTGCAGGACTTTATTGGAGTTTTTTGATAGTAAGACAGTAAGTAAATGATCTAAATACTTCTTCCACCCCTGTACAATGCAATAGATCCTTTATCTGGTGTAGCTCACAATTTTAGTACAACGCAACACTTTAATCAACATGCCACAGGTTAAATCACTATTGTTTGCTATCTACTGTTCCTGCATCATTGTGTGTCCTGTTGCTCGCAGTTGTTCCATTTCCGTCTCCGAATGTGGGCTCTCTGTCTCGGCACGTCGCAGCAGCCTCTCCCGGTGGTCTCTTCACTGATCTTACTTGATCAACTGAAAAACTTTATCTTGCCAAGTCATCGTGCATGTCCGCAGGAATTTTTTCGCCTGCGCTACACAAATCTGCAGCTGTACACAAAGAAGACAACACTAGCAGGATTAATACAGAACTCAGAACTCTTGCACTAAGGAAATGTGTGTTTGATGCCCATGCTGGTGTTCTCTGATCATATTACTTAGTATGCTTTTCTTTCCTCATTTCAACAAAGGATTGAATATTATGTAGTTCCATATGGATTTTAAAAAGTCCAGAGTCAAAATCCATCTTGCAGGAGGTCACTTCATGTGATGTTTCTAGAAATTTCCAGAAATTGATCGGAATGGTCCAGATGATGAAGTAGAAGTTATAAACCTTTTCTTCTGTCTTCTGTATTAAATCACATTCATGCATCAGCAACAACCTTTCCAGTAAAACAGAGCAATGCCTGCAAGGAATCTGTGCTGGAATCTGATTACTATCAGCCTGTGTGCATTGGGAAAAGAAAACATCCATCATGAGCAGAGGTTTCATTTAAGTGGCTTCATCTTCTCTATCTTCAGAGTGCCACTGAACCATCAAGCCCGGGGTACCAGCACTTGGCTAATTATTGGTTCTAATTCACATACTGCTCAGCCAAACACCTTTGTTATGAGTATGTTGTGCCTTTGTGGCTGTCGGTGCCTTTCTTCCATATCAACACGGTTCACTTGAACTCCACTCTGCTGGTCTCCCTTTTACTTGTATACAATATATTGTTTGCTTTCTTTCCCTCTAATTTGTGGTTATGCTATTACTGAAAATCAGACATTGTGAGCTGTTTCCGTGCAGGTCAGCGGAGGTGGGAAGTATAAACACACAAATAGGGTGTGGAAGAGGAGGTGGCTTTGGAGGTTCCTCTTGCGGGGCTGAGGGCTCCCCTGATAAATGCATTCCTTAAGCTATTAGGAGAGAAAAACTTCCTGAGAACCCTGAGATAGACCAGTAAGCATAGGAGGTCTCTGAAGAGCACTCAGGTGACTGAAAACAATGAGAGACTTTTTTCAGAATAGACACTTTTTGTCATTTCTGTGCTTTAGGGAACAGTTAAGCCTGTATTACTGTACTATAATCTTCACCTCTACTGGTCATAACTAAAAAAATATATAAATTTCAGACAAGATAGACCTTATTCAGAGAAAACAGCTGTGATTAATAGTGACGTAATGGCTACATTACGTTTAGGTGTACCAGTTCATGAACTGACTTCCTAATGAATGTTTTAACCATCTGTACTTCTCCTGCTGTGATAAGTAAAATACAAAAAGTACTGTCAAAACAGCCACAGGACAATGTCACAATGTGTGTGCGTTAGGGCTGAACAATTTATTAGCAAGACTATATCTAAATCGCAATATGTCCTACTGCAATTTTCGAATCAAAGTAGGCGCAATATTTGTTAAAGGTGAAACGTTTGTAAAAATACAATTTTTAATTAAATATTGTTGCGCTGCAAAGATGTCTTGGTGATCATATTTTACAAACATCTTTGTTTGGTAGCAATCCCCTCAAAAATCTCATAATAATCATTTTAATATGTTTTTTCAATGAAAATGAAAATACTGGTGTAAAAATTGTCATTCCCCTTAATGTTGCAAATCATAATAATTAAATAATTAGTAATTGCTATGTCAGTCGAAATAATTAGATATTTTTTAGATATTTATTTGGTCCGCTTAAAGGGGTGAATTTAGTCAAAGTCATCTTTCACTATTTTTTATTTCTATGGTTTTGAGAGTAGACTACGGCTACAAACACCACTCTGATCAAAAATTGATAAAGAAGAATAAAGATCTGAAATCTGAGATATTTCATACTGTATTGCTGCACGGCTTTACTCTTGGATCCATCTTTTATACCATTGGGAATTATTCATTTAAATTGTAAAGGAATATGATTAGGTGGTTCTTTTCAAGCTCACAAGAATTTAAAATACCGCTAAAAATTATTTGTTTAGAAATCTCCCAAGTGATGGATGGACCTACACTAAATTCACCTTTGCATGTAAATAGATGAAGTGCAAAACTTGTCAGTTGTCCCACAAAAAAGTCTATATTCAGCCCTACACCATGACCAAGAGTTACTTGTTGACTCATATTTATGAATATCTGCATTACTTACAGAACTCACAAGTTCACAACATATGGTAAAGACTTTGTTCACTGAATTTTTCATTTTCACCAATGTGTTTGCAGTGTCACACCCATAAAAACTACCAATGACCTGGTTGATCATGTCATAAGGCACACAACCACTATATCAACACAACCATTTCATGCAACACAATAAGCTAATCTTCAAACTTCATTCAATCTTCAGTCAAATTCTTTTACTATTTTGTTACATAGTGTTCCCAAAGGTCAAGAGTCAACTGTGGCTGTCTGTCCTCCCTACTTTTTTGCCCAATGTGTAAAATGTGGAATAAAATCAAACAGTGGAAATTGTGCCAACTACTTTGTTTTTTTGTTTTTTTTACAATTTAGACACACACACACACGCACACACAAACACACACACACAAACTGTACTGTAACTAGTAAACTATTTCCCCTCTGTGGCTGAGGCCAGTTTTGGATCCCCCATCACTGTTGCACTGTCCTCTGCGGGAGCTGCGCGTCTCCAAGCGACACCTCCATCCCGGACACGTTCAAGTCCAGCAGCCTCTGCAAGCGTTTGATATAGTCGATTGCGGCCCGCAGGGTCTCCACCTTGCTGAGCCGTTTGTCCTCAAACTCCTGCGGCAGATGCTCTCTGAGCCGAGCGTAACCTTCGTTCACGCAGCGCACTCGATGCCGCTCCCTTTCGTTCCTTTTCCGGATGAACGCGGGCTCAAAGGAGTAATCACACACACCGAGGGGTCCGTCAAAAGGGAAATAGGAGAATCGTCTGTAGGGTGACATCTGGCCGTGCACAGGGTCGAGGTATGCAGCGTCTAGGTGGAAGGGCAGTCCTAGTCGAAGCGCGTCCCTGTAGTGCGCACCGCTGTTATCCATGGAGAAGCCGTGGAGAGCCAGTGGAGGGACATATGGGATGTGCTCCATACTATGAACCAAAAAGGAGGCAACATTGAATAAAGCAGTAGGAAAATACATGCAATTAATGTACCATATAACCTACAATAGATGCAACTTACCCAGTTAAAGTTTCCTCACAATCATCTCGCGTTTTGAGCAATAGTTTCCTTTTAAATCTCGCCAGTTTGTGGTTAAATAGGCCTTCTTTCATAGGTAGGGAGTTCTGGTTCGGGACTTTGTCAGTCTGTGTGACAACTTGTTTGTTGGGGTTTTGAGGGTATATGCATGGTGGGTGTGATCCGGGGCGGAGATGCAGCCATAGCTTTCTCATCAAGATAAAACTGTTTACATAACGTTTTCTTCCTTCCGTTGACATTGCGAAGCAATTTCATGCATGAATGATACTATGAGCCAAACTTTAAGGGCTTACAAAACATACTTTATTGATTATAATAAACGATTTAGTGCATTTATTTATCAATAAAAAGGCATAAGGAAAGGTTTTAGACTAATCTGGGGATGAAAGATCAAAAATAGTAGCAGGTCAGTAGATCAGTTTATAAACCCACGTTGGAGAAGCCATTTAATAAAGGTAAAGGCCATTAAAAATAGCGTGGTGGCACATCATTAAATATATTTTTAGGCCTATATAACATTCACACCACTTCACAAACCTATGAAATGCAGAGGATAGTGAACAGAAATAAATCTGGAAGTGATAAATTCCTGAGGTTTTCCAGTTTCCATTTGCTTCTGATGTTACCTGTTAAGACAATTTGAGTCAGAGGCAGTTGCATCACATTGTTTTACAATCACAGAAAGGGATTTTGGTATTGAAATGATTTGTGTGATAGATATATAAATGCGACCCTGTACGCAGGATAAGCGGTTGACGATGGATGGATGGGTTAGGCTACTGTTTTAAGCAGATCGCTATCACATTTTTAAAATGTAGCATAGCCTAGGCCTACTTGAAAATGTAAGAGTCAGTCTTCTACACAGAATGCTTTTACGTCTCCCATTTAATAGATACAATCACGGCCAGTTCGTACCGCCTGGGGACTATGGGGGACAGAAGTGGATCTCATGTGGCTGAAGTTGGTTCCCTAAGATAATAAATTCACCATTATGCTCAAATCATCTTCCTTCTCGGGGAAAGTGGGGGTAAAACGTTACAAAACAGCACAAGATAAAATTATTAAAAAGACAGTAACATTAATATTTTTTATTTGGCCCTCTGTCTTGCTGTCCCATTGTATGGAAGAGCCGCCGCCGTTTTGGGGGGAATCTGGAGCGTCCAGGGCAGAAAACTGACCTGTGATCAGCCAAATATGCCTCCAAACCTACGCATGCGCACTAGGGGCAATATGCTGTCATGGCCCCGTTCAGGGAGGCATTGTGTTGGTATGTTGTTGTTCATAACTCATCTTCCTTTTCAGATAATCAGTATTTTTGATACGAAGCAACGCGACCGTGACGGCGTACATCTGTACTTTGAGCTAGTGAAACACCTGATAAGTCTCTGTTTTTAGCGTTTATGTAGCTGTAAGTTAGCAAGGCTAACGTTAGCAGTGTGACAAAACTGGTTCAGGTTTCGCAAACTAAGTAGTTGCAAGCAAGTCATTTTAAATTACATGTGAACTGTTGTTTTAGCTGTTTAATTTAGAGTTGTATGACAGTTGTGATGTTGTGCCATGCTTATGCTATATGTTGTTTTCAAACCAGGTCTTTTATTCCACAGGGAGAGAAGTATAAAAGCCCCCACTAGCACAGGACACGGTTACTGATGGACAGCAGTTGTTGAGTCCAGGTAAGCTAACATAGCTCACACTGTATACGCTGTGTGTCTTAACATGCTGACAATCATAGAAGGGCCTAAATCCATGTCTTAATATTGCTGACTGTGTCTAGGCAGCCACCCCCCCCCAATCAGCTAATGATTATTTGGTTTATGTTATTTGTCTTGCTGGCTCATTGCTCAGTCCCAGTTTAAATCTGATGTTGTTTCTGCAGGATGAATGACATGAACCTGAGTCCTGTGGGCATGGACCAGCTCAGTGTGCCCTCTGTGAGTGCCAGCCACCTGGGTCTGCCCACCTCCCCCACACACAACCCCATTCCCACCCCAGGTAGGAAAGACACTACCAGGCAGGCCTGTTTGCTCGAGCTGGTCTTCTCAAGCTATCCCATCATGTTTAGATTTGCCCACATTCCAGTTGTTATATGGGTCTGTGCCACCTTTAATTCTGAGCGGCAGTCTCGAGCTTCCTTCTCTCTTTGCTGAATCTTGGTTTATTATGTGCTCTTGACTCTTTATTATGGTTCAGGCATGCCAGTGGCCATCCCCAGCCTGGGTCCTTCTCTAGGCTCCCTTCCTTCTGCTCTCTCGCTGATGCTCCCCATGGGTCCGCTCAGCGACAGAGGAGTGATGTGCGGCCTGCCGGAGAGGAACTACTCCTTGCCGCCACCTCCATACCCCCACCTGGAGAGCAGCTACTTCCGACACATATTGCCAGGTGGAGTACTGTTTGCATTTAACTAATTTGTGTAGAAGTTCTCAAAGCAGTCGGTCAGATTGAAGTGTGGAAGCTTATTTAATCGGGATCTATCCCAGATGCTGTTATTTGAAAGGTAAACTAAAATTAAGTTTCCTCTTATTTCCCTGCTTTAGGTATCCTGTCCTATCTGGCAGACCGTCCACCACCTCAATACATTCATCCCAGCAGCCTTAACATGGACGGGACCCTCTCTGTGGCCAGCAACAATCCCTCTGGCCTGGATCCGTACAGTGGCCCTGGAGGCCCATTGGAGCAGGGCCTGGTGCCCATGGACTCCAGACAGGTCAGTGGCCAGGGAGACCTCCACCAGACTGGTGCTCATGAGCTGGACTCTACAGGGTTGGCCATGGAGTCACGAGTCAGCAGCCCCATGTCCCCTGACCGGATGGGAGAGGAGCTGGCCACCATGGACGGAGTCGGTGTGGTTTCTGACACCCAACAACAGCTTGGAAGGCAGCCTCAGCCGCATGAGGGCCTGGCCGGGGTGGACTCATCGAGTGGGGTAATGCCCCTTCACGGGCCCCCTGTGCTCGAACTACCTGTGGTGATGGAGTCAGATCATATGGGAGGCAGAGTGGGGAACGCTGGGGGAGGAGGAGCAGGAGGACTCGGGGAGCAGCTCCACGCAAATGGGGAGATGAACTCGGGCGTTGTCAGTGTGGTGCTCGCTGGCTCCATGGCCGCCCAGGGCCAGTTGGAGCCGGTGTCGCTCCATGGACACTCTGGGATGGGGCTGGAGGCAGTAAATGTGTCCCCCATCACTGCAGAAGTGTCGCTGGGGCCAGAAAACAACCTGGTGCTGGTCAACTCCAACCTGCAGCTAGAGGATTCTTCCTCCAACAAGGAGAACATGGTCACTGCCTACACCATCTGTGAGTGTGCGTTTGTAACAGTTTCCTCAGACGTTAAACAACTGGATATATCCATGGATTTGAAAATCATGTTTTATTTTTTGAAATCTGACAAAAGCATTGGAAATCATATACATCCATAAAGCTTTGGAAAATACAATTATTCTGTAAAAATATGATTTTAAATAACAATTTGTCAATAAGTAGAAGTGACCTGTACCAGCTTTTGTGCTGTTTTTGTTTTCCAGGGTGCACACTGTGTGAGCGCTTATATACCTCAAACTGCCCCGAGCACGGCCCGGTCACCTTCATCTCTGACACGCCCATTCAAAGCCGGGCTCGCCTCTCTCTGCCGCGTCCACTGTGCCTGCGCATCTCAGTGGCCGACGAACCGCTTGGTAAGAGAATAAGCCACCTTGAACAGGGTGATCTGTGGGTGTTAGAAAAGCACAGACCTGATGCACTGTTCTGTGGTCAGATGCATTTATTCTTGCCCTTAATGTAGAACCAAAAGACACCTCCACATTGTGCAAATTGTTTTATCTGGTAGTTTCATTCATGTGTTATTTGTGTACCTGTGTAAGAGACATTTTAAGGATCACACAAGATTTTATGGACACAAACATGAGCCATAACAAAGCCACAGCGGCTTTATTAAGATGCCTCATGTAAAAAAAAAAAAAATTAATTAAATTAAAATTAATACAATTTAAACAGGTAGCACATACCACGCATGGGTAGACGAAAAAAACGTTTCGTAAATCATCAGTTAGATTACTGACTAAATGTGCTTATGCCCCTGTTAGGAGTTTTTGCACGTGACATTATTCCTCCAAGGACCTGTTTTGGACCAATGGTCGGCCAGCACTGTAGCAACGTGGATCTCTCTGATTGGCCAGAAAAGGACACGCCACAAATATGGAAGGTGAGTGCAGTGGTTTTGGTTTGAACTTGATTGTAGCAGTCAATGCAAAACCATGAAGTGGATGAACCCATTTCTCTATTTTAGATGTATCACAACAATGTGCTGGAATTCTACATCGTGACAACAGATGAGAACGAGTGCAACTGGATGATGTTTGTCCGCAAAGCAAGGTATGATGCTGGTATAAAACGTTCACTTCTAAGGTGTTTGCCATGTTGGTTCAGCCTAGCTAATGTGTTCATAAACAATTCTTATTTTCTGTGTGTCTGTTTAGGACCCGTGAAGAGCAGAACCTGGTGGCGTACACTGCCAATGGTAAACTATTCTTCTGTACAACCACAGAAATCCACCTGGACCAGGAGCTGCTCTTCTACTACAGCAGGGACTACTGCAGGCTGATGGGTGAGGTGACAGCTCAGTGAGAGAGAGAGAGAGAGAGAGAATTATATAAATATATATTTTTTTAATAATGTCTCCACAGGTGTTCCCCAGGTGCCTGAGGGTCAGATCTGCCAGTGTGGTAAAGAGTGCTCCTCCTTCTCTGAGCTCAAGTCTCATCTTAACAGCCATAACCAACCTCCACACAGCCACAGCCCATCCCAGCAAGACCACTCTCAACAACAGCAATCACAGCAGCAGCAACAAGAGCAACAGGCACCACAACAGCAACACACTCACCAGGAAGAGAAACTGACCAATGGGACCTCTAGCTCCTCCTCTTCCCCATGGCCCTGCCACGCCCACGCTGCGGGACAAACAAACGGTGATAACAACAGCAGCAGCAGCAGCAGGGACTGCAATAATAGAAACTCTAATAGTGCTACGTCCAGAGCTAAAGGTCAGGGCCATGTGCGGGAGAAGAAATTCAAGTGCAGCATGTGTTCCCGCGCTTTTATCACATCCACCAAGCTCAACGTGCACTTCATGGGGCACGTGGGGATGAAACCTCACAAGTGTGAATACTGCAGTAAGGCCTTCAGCGATCCCAGCAACCTCAGGATGCACCTCAAGATTCACACAGGTGTGTACAGGGATCATTGAAGTGTCAACATCTGTCTTTTCAGCTGTCATGCTAACCCTTTATATATCTGACACATGGCAACAAAGTGAATGCATTTCCAAAGAAAAGTGCAATTTCACAGCAACCAAACATCTTAAAGGAATAAGTTAAACAGTTTTTAAAAATGTTGATTCACTTCCTGGCGGAGAGTTTAAATGAGAAGGTCTGTACTGCTCTCATATCGGTCCACTAAATATGAAGCTACAGTCTCCAGGTGGATGTTTTTACCAAAATGGACAGAGCCTGGCTAGCCGTTTCCCCATGTTTCCAGTCTTTGTGCTAAGCAAAGCTACCTACGTGCTGGCTGTAACTTCACATTGAATGAACCGATATGGGAGTGGTATCAGTCGTCTCATGTAACTTTCGGCAAGAGAACAAATAAGTGTATTTCACAAAATGTCAAACTTTTTCTTTAAACAATTTTTAGTTTCTGGAACTTTTTTCTGTATTTTTTATTTTTTTTCCATTAACAGGTCAGAAGAACTACAGATGCACTGTTTGCGGGAAGTTGTTTACCCAGAAGTCCCATGTGGCTTCACATATGCTCATCCACACCGGTGCAGAGAAGCTCAAGTGTGACCTCTGTGACCGGGCATTCATCAGGAAACATGACCTGAAACAACACATGTTCTCTCACACACAGTATGTAATTTACTTATTGTATTTTAGACAAAGCTGTAGCTGTGTATTATATGCTAATGGAATGGTTTGTTTTGCAGAAGAGATCAACCACAATTACCTGATTAAATAAAGGTTATATATATATATATATTTTCTCCCTTTTCCGCCACAGCGAGCGCCGGATTCAGTGCCCAAAGTGCAACAAACATTTCCTCAAGACCAACCACCTGAAGAAGCACATGAACTCTCACGAGGGCCGAAGAGACTTTGTCTGCGAGAAATGCAACAAAGCTTTCCTCACCAAATACCACCTCACCCGTCACCTCAAGATATGCAAAGGGCCCAAGACGGAAAGAGTGTCCCGTAAGGAGCGGGATGTGGACGAAGAGGAGGAGGAGGAGGAGGAAGAAGAAGGGGAGGATGATGGTAGGGGAAGAGGAGGAGGAGGAGGAGGAGAAAGACTTGTTGACTCAGCCAGCAATGAAGACTGTGGTTTAGATGTTGGAGGATATAACTCTGAAAAGTCCCTGTCACCCCCTCATTGACACTGTGCCTCTTGAGATGTCTTGTTTATTTATTGACTTTTCTACAATACTGACGTTTACCTCTATTTTTTTTGCCAAACATCAGTTACTTTGTCATATTTCAACTGCAGCGTCTTTTTTTTATATATATATATATATATTATATATATAAAAATAATGTTTAGTCTCACACAAGAATGTCAGTGCTGCTAAAATAATCGTTGTCGTATTATAAGTCAACTGATAAAGATCTGACTGTATAAGCTGCTTTCTTTTTTCATTTAACTCAGGCCCCTGTAATCTTGGTTGATGGGATTCATATAAGCTATCTTTCATTCATTGTTATTCTATAATCTTTTTTTTTATTTCTTTGACTAACTAACATGGGGCAATATTCATTTGTAGTTGCACAATGATGTCATTTAAATTGTTTAATTCCATATTCTTGCATTTTAGTCCTGAAAATGTGTAATTGCTAAAAGACCTGTGCTTTTATTCTTTATTTATTAAAAGCAGGATTTTGTGTGAATGGAAGTGCGCCTTTTGAAAGCAGGAATCTAGGAATAACTAATGTGACTTAATGTTAAAATGTTTTAGCTCCATCCTAGCTGTTGCATAATGTTAAAATAAATGAACATTTATGGTTGTTTTATGTTGACTTATTTACTTGATATAGTGGAAATCATGAATTACTACTTCACTGATTATGTTGTTTTCTTGTGTCTAAATTGTTTTTTTTTAACCATGATGATCAATGGACTGCAAGACCCATCTGCTGTTCATTCAACAAATAAGGACCACCCAGTAGACAACCATGTGGATAAAATAGAGACAGTGTCCCCACCTGGCCGTGTGGATATCGCATCATCTATGGAATTTGTGATGATTATCCCATTATGATGACTATGATCAAAGAGACTGATAAATATTAAATCATGTGGTCTCACAACTCCTGAGATTCTCCGGCAGAGGTCATTGGTCTGTTCCATATTCTTGCGTGAAAACTAAAGCCTGCCCAAGGAACTCAGGTCGGCTAAGTCAGTGAACTCTTTTAAGTCCATACTTTTATAGGAGAGCCTTTTCTGATTTTAGGTGATTTTATTTATTTATCTTTTAACTGTATTTTAATTTCTTAAGTTTCTTCTTGCTTTTTTTGTATCTTGTTATCTGTTTTATATGTGTTTTATTGTCTTTACTGTCGTGAAAGCAATTTGTAACATGGTTTTCAAAAGGGCTCCATAAATGAATGAAAAACGATGAGTTTTTTTAATACTGCAGAAAAATTCGGGAAAGTTTTTATGCATACATGACCAATTGTATAACTGTTGATATTGTTATGGAAATATTCGCAAAAAAGCAATGTCCGTTAGATTTCTTCTCGGTTGCTCAATTTCCTTTTTTATTTTTATTCTTTTATTATTTTTTAAAATTAAAATTAGACTTAGCAGCTTTGCTTTTACGGCAACCGGAAGTACACCGTGTAGCTTCCGGTTAAAATACGAAATATGCAGCGCCGCGGTTGTCATTCACTTTAGCGTGGTATGAATTATCTATATTTCCTGCGTGTTGTTTCACTTTTGATATAAAATGCTGAATTATCGGTTGTACATAATGAAAGTAAATTTACACTGAAACAATGCGTTCCCTCCTAATTCTGCACGGTTTATGTGTTAGCTAGATAACTTCAGCTAACCGTTTAGCTAACGTTAGCCGGTCGGCTAACAGCTTTACTAAAGCATGCACACTTATCATGTCTCACAGTCTTATTTGATGTCCAGCTAAAAAGGATAGTGACGTTATGTAACTTACTTTACGTGTTAGCATGAACTTTTACAATGCTTTGATTCCTTGAATGTATTTTGCACACTGCATGCTCGTTTTGTCTCACATATTTGTTTCTTTCAGCCTGAACAGTCTGATAAAGTCATGTTGACCCCACCGAAGGAGGGGATGCCCAGTATGATAGACAGGGCGCTGAGGATGAGGCGGGAGGAACAGGCTCGTCAGGTGGTCCTGGCCTGGGCCGTGCTCAACGTGTCTCTAGCTGGCATGATTTACACTGAAATGTAAGTTCAGAAATGGTCTCTCTCGCTGTAATGTAGCACTGATTTCCTGTGCCTCCACCTCCCATCTATCCTCCAGTGTACAGTCTAATGACGTTTGTCCTTTTTGCTTTTATATTAGGTCAGGGAAACTGCTGAGTCGATACTACAACATCACCTACTGGCCCATCTGGTATATCGGTGAGGTCCCGCTGCTCTTTCATTTGTTTCAAAGATGTCTGCTGGTGTTAAAACGTCTTAAAATAACAGTAGCGATGTTCAATGTTACATTCAGTGCCTGAGTGGTATTTTCAGTCAATCAAGTTAAGGGGAACTGAAGAGAACATACTAATACAGTTACTCTTAAAATGGTTTTCAGATTAATCTTAAATTAAACTGCAGAATTGAACGAAATATCACAAATGAAAGTCTGACACTTTATTTTACACTAACAGACACCTGTTCATTTATACGCTTCTTACGGGAAGACCAAGTAAGCTAAGTGTTTCTTTCTCTTGTTTCTGTTTCTCTTGTTTAAAGAACTGGTGCTAGCCTCTCTATTTAGCCTCAATGCTCTTTTTGACTTCTGGAAATATTTCAAATACACAATGGCTCCCTCCACCATTGCTGTATCTCCTAGGCAGCATCACCTCCTCGGTCTGACAAACACAAGTGAGGAAGAAGAATTTCTATTTTGTTCAATCAATATTACTTCTCTGTTAACACATTTAGGTCTTCAGTTCAGTATGTATGCTAGTTATTGTCTGCCCCCCTGCAGGTATTCAGGCCTCTCCGCCCCAAAAGCCAGAAAAAAAGGAGACCCCAGCTCCAGCCCAGTCATCTCCGCTGCAGGGCCAAAGTGTGCTCAGTTTCAGCCCCTCACGGCCGGCCACCACTAGCCCCAAGTTCTCCCCCAGCTGTGTACCCGGGTATAGCCCTCCTCTCAGCAACCCATCCACCCCAAGCAGTGCGGGGGGGCCCTTTTCCCCCTCAGTGGCTTTTGGAAAAGTACGTCCATCACATTACTGTTATCTAGGTGGTAGAAAAATGTACAGTAAGCCTAGAGATGTGTGGTGGATTAATATAAAGGATGGATTTCCTCCAAATTGGTGTCATACATGTTCATGTCTTTCCACTGAGTTCATTGTGTTCTTCCTTTCTGAGGTGTTGAACTACAGCCCCTCCCCTGGCTCCTCTCCCTACCCCAGCAGCATTGGACCCGCAGAAGGCTCCAGCTTGAGAGCTCGATATCGCACATCACCCTCAGTGTTTAACTCCCCTGGAAGCAAGGAGGACTACATGGAAGATCTGAAAAGCCTGGAGAGGTTCCTCCGCACAGAGGAGGAGAGGAGTCACCGCAGCCAGCTCGGTACAGTATGCCACTGTTGAAGGAACTCCATTGCTAGTATAATCAGAGGAGGACATTATTATTATTGACCCAGGTATATTCACTGGTATGTTTGGAACAAGTAGATGTAGACCATTAGTTTGTTTTTGGAAGCTTTTGCCAATCAATCCTTTAGAGGATTTAGTCATTTTTATGTCAAACTGAGTTAATGTGGAAAAACATTCATATAGATATACAGGGGTTGGACAATGAAACTGAGACGCCTCTCATTTTAGTGTGGGAGGTTTCATGGCTAAATTGGACCAGCCTGGTGGCCAATCTTCATTAATTGCACATTGAACCAATAAGAGCAGACTGTGAAGGTCCAATTAGCAGGGTAAGAGCACAGTTTTGCTCAAAATATTGCAATGCACACAACATTATGGGTGACATACCAGAGTTCAAAAGAGGACAAATTGTTGGTGCACGTCTTGCTGGCGCATCTGTGACCAAGACAGCAAGTCTTTGTGATGTATCAAGAGCCACGGTATCCAGGGTAATGTCAGCATACCACCAAGAAGGACGAACCACATCCAACAGGATTAACTGTGGACGCAAGAGGAAGCTGTCTGAAAGGGATGTTCGGGTGCTAACCCGGATTGTATCCAAAAAACATAAAACCACGGCTGCCCAAATCACGGCAGAATTAAATGTGCACCTCAACTCTCCTGTTTCCACCAAAACTGTTCGTCGGGAGCTCCACAGGGTCAATATACACGGCCGGGCTGCTATAGCCAAACCTTTGGTCACTCGTGCCAATGCCAAACGTCGGTTTCAATGGTGCAAGGAGCGCAAATCTTGGGATGTGGACAATGTGAAACATGTATTGTTCTCTGATGAGTCCGCCTTTACTGTTTTCCCCACATCCGGGAGAGTTACGGTGTGGAGAAGCCCCAAAGAAGCGTACCACCCAGACTGTTGCATGCCCAGAGTGAAGCATGGGGGTGGATCAGTGATGGTTTGGGCTGCCATATCATGGCATTCCCTTGGCCCCATACTTGTGCTAGATGGGCGCGTCACTGCCAAGGACTACTGAACCATTCTGGAGGACCATGTGCATCCAATGGTTCAAACATTGTATCCTGAAGGAGGTGCCGTGTATCAGGATGACAATGCACCAATACACACAGCAAGACTGGTGAAAGATTGGTTTGATGAATATGAAAGTGAAGTTGAACATCTCCCATGGCCTGCACAGTCACCAGATCTAAATATTATTGAGCCACTTTGGGGTGTTTTGGAGGAGCGAGTCAGGAAACATTTTCCTCCACCAGCATCACGTCGTGACCTGGCCACTATCCTTCAAGAAGAATGGCTTAAAATCCCTCTGACCACTGTGCAGGACTTGTATATGTCATTCCCAAGACGAATTGACGCTGTATTGGCCGCAAAAGGAGGCCCTACACCATACTAATAAATTATTGTGGTCTAAAACCAGGTGTTTCAGTTTCATTGTCCAATCCCTGTACATGATCATAGAATGGAACCCTTTACATATCATGATGAACTTATGCTTTCTAAAGGGAGTCCAGAGGCTGTGTCTCCGAACCACAGCCCAACATTTTGGAACTACAACCGCTCAGTGGGAGATTATGCCCAGAGCCTGAGGAAGTTCCTGTACCAGCCGGCCTGTCGCTCTCAGGCCCCGTCTGCCAACAAGGATGAGACGGATCTGGGCTCAAAACAGGCTGCAGAGGAGGTCTGTGAATAGCATCGCATGGTTTGTTGTCGTGTCCTAAAAGAAAAAATAATATTGTTTTTCAAAATGAGGTGGTGCCTTCTGAGTCTGTATGTATCAGAGTAGAATGTATGTTTGCCGTGAAATGATACCTTTTTACTTTGCTGTTATGTAGGTGTGGGCCAGAATCACAACCAGTCGTCCTGTGGTGGACCGCATTGATAGCTGGACAGCCAAGCTTAGAAATGTGAGTGTTGAAACTTATATACCTAAAACTTTGAATAATAGCCCGGGCTTTAATGAGCTAACATCACTGAATTGACCCTGCCTGTATTTGGGACAGGCATCCATATGGGACAGTCCTTTAATTCTTTTTGCACAAAACTGAAACTACTATGAAACAGATTATTTATTTCAAACAGAATAATACACGTCATTCATTTGATCTGGCGCCGACAGACTGCTTATGGCTTTTATTTTGAAGGCAGCAGCCTCACGAAAACAACAACATTGTGCAGGAGGAGAGAAGTTAGCAGACAGAGAGCGATGTATCTTTTTAGATAAACAGATGTTGACAAAGTTTGACTTTAGGGACCTAATTGGAAGTTGGGAAAAGGTAATAAATTGCAATATATCTCAATATATTTAAAATCGCAATAAAATTGAATCGCAACATAAATATCGTGATAATATCGTATCTTGGTTCCCACCCCTACTATTTGGGACTCGGCTATTAATTTAAGTTTTACAGTACACAACTACAAACTTAAGAAACTTTGTTTATCGAAAGTTTTTATGTTTTTTTGTCACAAAACTTCCATCTGAAATCAGAGTAAGAAAAACCAGGAGGAAATTAATATATTTGTGTCTTTTGCAGTGGATCAGTGACACCATCCTGGTACCCCTGGTCAAGGAAATGGACTCGGTCAACAGCCAGCTCAGGAGGATGGGCTGCCCTGAGCTCCAGATAGGAGGTAAAGAACATGAATCATTCTCAGAAATTTCATTTAATATGCCAGACCAGTACAGTGCAAAGCACGGCAGCAGTCTGTTAAAGGGTAACGGTATTTTTCCACCTGGACCTTTTTTTATTGTTTTTTTAATCTAATTACTATTTTTGTGAAGGGAGTCTAGTAGCTTTGATGAGAGTGATATGGGATCTTATTCTGTCAAAAAGGTCTACCTCTGTAGGGATACTTTCCATAATGTTGTCATTATGGACACTTATAATAACAATCTGAATCTGTGAGGCAAAATCAAGCACTTCAGTGGACAGACTTTAACAGGGCGCCATTGCCCTTAAAGATTGCTTTGTAGCCCTGTTTCGCTGCTGACTGCAGCGCACTCGCTCAATACTGCACCAAATTCGGAAAAATGTTGTCCCAATTAGTCCCATAGACACAAAACAAATAGGAAGATATATTTCATAATATAAATATGGAAATTACTATAGTCATTACTGTGATTTCAGTGTATTCTATCAATTGGAGTCTTAATAGTTATCTCTCTTTTTTTTTTTTTTTTTTCCTCCACCAGAGGCCAGCATAAGCAGCTTGAAACAAGCAGCAGTGATGAAAGCCTCATCCATCCCCACTATGAACTCTATTGTTCAGTATCTGGACATCACTCCCAACCAGGAGTATCTAGTGGACCGCATGAAGGGTAGGTTCAACAACACAGTATGTGCGTGTGTGCCTGACATCTGATAATTTAATGGTAGTGTGAGTTATAGCGAAACATGTTTTTAATTTCTTATAGGTGTGTGTTTTTCATGTATGTTATGTTTTCTGTCCATTCAGAGCTGGCCCACAGCGGCTGCATGAGCTCCTTTCGCTGGAATGGTGGCGGTGATCTGAAGAACAGGAAGTGGGACACAGACCTCCCCACTGACTGTGCTGTGAGTCTACACATGCACACTAAGCTAGTGATACAACCAGTCACCAAACAGGTTCAAGTCCAAGTCAGATCTGGAATTTGTTAGGGCACCGACAAACGATTTCAGTAAGAAATCAGCCTCCTCAGGTTGGGGCTGCGGAAAATTAGTATGACAAATTGTTTCACTTTTCAAATACATGCAACAGGACAAGTGTATAAATGTTATTTGCACTAAATATTTTAATAAAAATACCAAAACTAAAACACTGTCAGTAGCATTGTGTTTTTGCTTTGCATCAGGAAGCCACTGATTGAGTGTAAAAAGTCCTACTTATTACCTTGTCTGTCCTCTAGATCCTCATGCATGTGTTTTGTACGTACTTGGACTCTCGTCTGCCCCCACACCCAAAGTACCCAGACGGGAAGACTTTCACTTCGCAGCACTTCAGCCACACCCCAGACAAACCTGGTAAGTGCTCTCGCACACACACACACACGGTGGCCGTATAAGAAGGAAGAATGATAAAAGGCTCAGGATATCCTCTGTATGCTTCTCATTCTTACTTTATTCTTCGTTACACTTCTTCCTGGTGTTTCAGTTCTTATGTCCCTTTCTCTATTAACTCTCACAGATGTTACCAAGGAGAACGTCTTCTGCATCCACCAGAGCAGCACCACTCCACCTCACTACCAGCTCATCTACCAGGGACATATCTACAGTCTACCCAAGGTGAAAAGCAACCAGTATTCTCACTCGTTCTTTTCCAAAAAAATCATTTCTCTATTTTTCAGGCTCTTAAAAAAACAGCGTGTGCTCTTATTTTGCCCTCACTGACTTAAAATCAAATCCAAAGAGAAGTCTGTCTCACAATTTTCTTATTTTGTACACTCAAAGGTGTGCTATATCTAGGTCTCCCTGGGGTGGTACTGTAAATCTAAGAAAAGATCAAACCATCTTTACTGACTCCCTCAAGGATAAATCTTGCCAAATGTTTATATAACACATAATAATAAATAAAAAGGGTTATAAAAATAACAGGTAGCACAAAAACAGTAAGACATGATATTCTAAATCAGTGTGTCTGTACAGAAAACAGAAAACATTTGAGTCTGTTTTTCAGATTTCTGTAACATTTTAATAGTTGTGTTCTTACAGGGTCTTGTAGTTGAGATCCACAGCCAGAATTTAATGACTTTTGGCCAAAGATAAAACTGAATGATTGCTGTTTTTCTGTCCTTCACTGAAATAATTGGAACTTATTTTTGTCCATTTTGTGGTTTGCTTGTAAGCCTGGACCCCACCTCACTTGTGTTTTTTCTTCCTCTCTACTAGGAATTAATTTAAAATAGAATCTTACCTTTTTAGCAGGTGCACTGAACTTGGCCTTGTTATACACTGACAAAGCATAGAGAGCTTTGTATCTAGGCACAAGTACCAGTAATCCCCATTTATGTAATGAATATCCCAGAGAACAACCAGCAGACTCAGGGCACCAGAACAGACATCTGATTCAGTTCGGGGTTTCTTCCTCTACTGTAACACTGTGATTGCAATAACATGAACCCATCTCAATTTCTGTTGCAGGGCAGGAACAACCTGTTCCACACAATCCTCATGTTCCTCTATGTCATTAAGACGAAGGAGTCAGGGATGCTGGGGTGAGTATTTCTACCTCTGCTTATAAAACCCTATAAAAGGCTGGCTAGCTCAAATAATCTTTGACATAAGTATATGCCATTTCAGGGTGTAATGAAATGCAACGTTTTCACCAAAAAAAGGTCATCCACTGAAGTGCAGATTGCATTGTGATTGAAAATGATTGATTTGACTTTGCTTGTCTTCTGTAGGATAATTAAATTGCTCTTCATATTTTCTTCAGGAGAGTAAACCTTGGCCTATCTGGTGTGAACATCTTGTGGATATTTGAAGACTGATGCGTCTAAGTGCATTGTTTTTCCCCCACAATGCTGTGTGGCTACACTGGTTAGAATACCACCTCAGTTTAAGGACTGCCCTTCCAGGGGCACATTGAAAAAGCAGCACTTGACTTTGAAAGACAATAAATGCTTATTTTTTGACATTTTCTCAATTTTGGTGTACAAATTGGCAGCATATTGTCATTTTAATAACACATTTATGTTACACCACAGTGTGCTTATGATACACTGCAGAGCTGTATTTTTTTAACAGTTAGGTTTTCTGATATTGTATTTTCAGAATGTACCAGCATGGCAGCCTTGTAAATAATATACCTCAGATCTTTCTGGTGGATGGTAAAGGGCTCGGACCCATTTAGCGTGAATGTAAAAACAGTTTTTGTTTCTTCAGCTTTAGTAATTTTTTGCAGCTGGTGTGCTGTTTTTTTGTTCTGTAGTTGAATGAATGTCTGGTGCAGTAGGGATGTCTGTGACATGCTTGAAGTCACCTACAGAAATTTGACTTGTGAGAACGGAAGCAGTTCACATAATATTGAAGTATTCTGTGGTCGCGAAGCTTCCCATAGTACTTGGCTGCAGTGCAACACATAACTATGTACAGTGTTAATTCATTTGATATGTGATGGAGAACAAATGAAAAGCATTTGAATCACCAAAGTCTTTTTTCTGAATAGTGTCTTTTACAAAATAGACCTGAATGCCACTTGTTCTGACTTCTTGTGTCATTCATTATTTTTCAGACTTTCTACATGTTTGCTTGTTTTCAATAATGCCATTTTATAAATGTCACGAGAGTTGAGAATAAAATTGAGTTATTAAAAAAGAGAAGCTTGTTCATTTCCCTCCACCCAACAGAACTTTTATTTTTTGACTATTGTAGGCATCCACTTGATGGCAATGTAGTTCATTCTTTACAATGTGACTTTACTCCTGGTCCCATCATATCATGACATGACTGCATATTCGCATATCTTGTGCAGCAGCGTCCGGTGAATGACTTGAGGCTGCCCGCCTTGTCAACATTGGTTGAGGACAAACCGTTTTGCTGGGAAGTTACTGATGTAGGAGCATGTGCATCATAATGTAATATTAGAAGTGATTGAGTGTATCCTCTAGTTATTTATTTTCACATGTTAAATGAAAAACTACTGCCTAATTTTAGAAAACCATGCAAAAAGGTTTATAAGTGATTGCCTTGTGAACAAACGGTGTTGCGTAAATCGCATTTGTTTTGTAGTTTCGTGTCGTCCTCTTTTATAACAAACGTCATCTCCCATAATGAATTTCGCAGAGTCGCTTTTCCTGCTGGGAAATGTAGTCGCTTTGCCGATTAGACCAGCTTTTCAGTTAAATGGAATGAATATGTGAATGGTTTTATTGTTTTCCCCCATGTTGGGTAACGTTTTATAAAATCTCAATCGTGTGCCCATCATTGGTATTGGAGGTGGCCTGTGGAGGATTTTTTTGAGCTACTTAAAGGGACTACAAGAACCGCAGCGCATTTGGCCAGCGTCGCTCCTCCGCTCACATCCGCTCGCCTCGCTATTTGTGTTGGAAAAAGGTCTTAGTGAAACGGCAGCGATGTCAGTCCAGGTTGTGGCAGCGAAAATGGCAGAGGTCGAACTCAAAGATGTCCCCACCGTCAAAGACTTGCCAGCCGGTTCTCCGATGACACCGACCTCGGAGGGCAAGATCCTCGCCAGAAACGACCCGCACGAGGCCGGTTCCTCTGCCGCTGCTTCCCCTACAGCGGAGCCCTCCGCGAAAGCCGGGGAAGGCAGCCTGGGTTTGCTCACCCCGAACCCCACGAAGATGCCGCAGGCGTCGGCTATGAAGCGGTCGGACCCGCAGCAGAACGGCGGAGAGGCTTTTGTCAACCGTGACGGAACCGTTGCCGAAGCGCCGCGGATGAAAAAGGCGAGTGAGACACATTTTTCCCTCCATAGCTGCTATATCCTCGATGTTATTGGACCAAGACTGAGCACCTCGCCGCAAAGAAAGCTCTCCGGGAAAGCTGGCATTGTGTGCCGATGCTAACAGGCTAGCTGGTCCCAAAGCTGCATCAGTTAAGTCAGTTACCTCATGTAATAATAGTCTTCGGAAGCTAATAACACTGTGGAGGTGTGTAATAAAGGCCACACATTATTTAAAAATAGGTGTAAGGTATCCATTTTATTTAGGCTGACATAGCTGAATTTTTAGGAATTCGTAACTTAGCTGGATAAAAGTAACGTTATCCAACTTTTCTCATAAGTTTTGTTGAGATTGGATGTTGAAGAAAGAAAATTCTTTGCTAGCCCCATCTTTTAAAAGCAAAGCTCAGGCTTATTTATACTGGTTTGTGTCTGCTTGACTTATCATGCGCAACAAAATACAGCACATGATGTTGTTAAAACAAGCACAGCCAGTCACTTCAATGAAAGGTTATGTTTGCTGTCTTGGCACATTTGCAGCAATAGTTGCCATTTTTGCTTGGTCAACACCGAGAGCTTTCTTATTTGGCAAACATTTTTGAAGTAGCTGGATGATTTTTAGATACAATGAAGGAGAAGAAACTGCAGGTGTGTGTCCCCAGGTTACAGGGACACTTTTTTGCGCCTGCCAGGAAGTTGATCTTTGCTCGTTGCCTGATCTCAGGATAGTTAGTATATTAAAGATGTTCACAGTTTACTGCTTAAAATGCACCCATGATAAGTTTAGTTTGACTTATGCAGTGCCACCCAAAATATGTGATATAACTCAGACATAACAGTAGTCTGTAATTCGTGACCCCAGGGAAATCCTGTCACCTAGTTTCCGCAAGCCTGATTTAGCCTTTAGAGCACCACAACTTCAGTGAGGGGAGTTCCTGCCCTTGTGGTTTAATTTAGAGGTCGGACTGACTTAGCAAATTTTTTTTTCTTGGCCAGCAAGAATCCAAAAACTGTTTGGCAGCACTTGTGCCCTAAATGCATCTTATCTTTCTGTCCTTCACAAAGTCTTGATTAGGACACAAGTGGATCCAAAGGGCAAAGTTCAAAGAAAGAACAGTTTTTGATAAGCTTCCAGCTTTATTCCTCTGATCAGAGTTGTTATTAACAGTTGAAAGTGATTGATAGCCTGTGGGAGCCATAGTGCACTTTATCAGTGGATATTAGATATGTGTATGGCGAGACTGTGATTTATTGTCTTCCTGGAGGCACATAGCCTTAACAAGCCTAAAGCTAGTGTGTTTTCACTATGAACCATTGGATTGGAAAACCAAAAGGTTGGGTGATTGTCTTGGTGAAACTTAGGGACAGAACAGGTTGGAAGGGATACACTTACCACCCACACCCTCTACTACGCCTAGACAATGATCCTATCCTGTTACACAACCCCTAAGGAAGCCCCAGTAGAAGAACCATAGGAAGAGAGCTGGATTGTACAGTGTTAGAATGGACTGCGCACAGAAAGCAGCTGAGAGTAGATGGATTTGCGTACCTCAGCCGGTCACAGCAAGCGGGCGTACACACTGGGCCTAAAGGCTGAACCACATTTGGGGGGCAGCCCAATGCCTTATGTGCCAGACAGCAACAGCCACATCTGGATTATTGAAGAGTCCAAGTTGGCATACAGGACCATGGTACAGAGAGTTAATTTCCAAATGAACCATGTTCATTTTATTTAGTGAAATTTAATGATCAGGTTTTTATCTTGAAATAAATAAATTCTGAAATTGATATCATGTTGTAAAATATTATTTAAAGTAACATCACAGTAATTTTTAAATATGTACTTTTTTGATTCTCTAAGCTAGTGGATTTATTTAAAGAATACAAGTTATTTTATGTTGGAATCAAACTTGTGGCTATAGCAGAGTTGGGGGTAACGTGTTTCAAAGTAATGTGTTACTGTAATCAGATTACTTTTGTCTAATGCAGTAATGTAATTCATTGCTGTTGATAACTTAAGTAATCACATTACAGTTACTAATAACAAAATCGTCGTGTTCCTTGCATACTGGTGAAACTGGAGTTTAAAATATACTGGAGTGAAAAATAAATCAAACATCCCTTTTCGTGCGTGTTTGCGTAACACTTTTCCGACCTCACTTTTGACTTCAGCGCCAGTTCATGGGGACGCAGAAATGGCAGAGCTGCTAAAGACGTCTTTTGAGGGGTGGAAGTATTATATTAGTTTCACGAAAGGACAGCGATACCCTCTAGTGCACCTGTGGCGATGCTCGATAGCCTGGGCAGTCTTGTGCTGACTCCGATGAGGAACAGGTTGTATGACAAACGATTTGAGAGACTCCTGCTCATCAGGTATAACCACTTCTTTGATAAGCATGTCCAGTAAGAGGGAAAAATCTACTTTAAAGCCATAGTTCGGCAAGTGAGCTACAGTAAGTTTGTTGTGTGGGGTTGGCCTGTTAACTGCACAGTTCAAATTACAATTACAAGTTTTTCCTTTGAAGTCTCACCATCATCTGATATTGTGATGAGGGCCAGTGTCTTTATTTATATATATATACATAGGCCTGGTTGGAAGGACAACCTATTTTAAGTTATGTTGTATTGTAATGAAATTCATTATTTAAAAAATAAATGTTTCCAATGAAATGCCAATAAGAGTTTTAAGTATTATAGTACTGTATTGCCTTGTGTAGCCTTGTTCAGAGAAACTGTACAACAGGGATCATCTCTGAATTTTTAGGGTCAATGTTTGTTCGTTTTTTTTAAATTCATATAATACAAGACCTGTAAGCCTGAGTAATAGGGCAGAAATCTGTCCATTATTTCAATACTCTGAAAAATACGCGGCATAGTGGGTCTTATGTCACACTGCATTATAGATATACGACCACAGCCTGGCTTTGTGCATCTACTGAATTCTGCTTGCCCAGTGCAGTAACGGATAAGTGAAGCAGTGGGACTGATAATACAAGTATACAGGCAGGCAGGAAGCTGTGTTGACAGTGACTGGCTATCTTTTAATCCATGCCTTTTATCATGTCGCCACATGAGGGGGGGATTAAATGGCCAGCCCTCTGTTGTAGGTGGGCCCAGATGTAAGCTTTCTGAGCCACTGATGAGTTTCATAGTAACCCACAGTCGCTTGGCACAAATATGTCCAGCTTCTGGGAAGTCCAGGATGAGACCTCCAGCTGGGAGGAGAAGTGCTGCGTTCTAAATCACACACTTTTTCATTTCCAAAGTACATAATACTGCATGCAGTATCTAAACAATGGGGACAGGGAATACTACTTTGTTATAACATTGTGCCTTACTAACTCATACTCATGCTGCGCAGAGGATTGTGGGTCACAATAGCCAGAAAAACATGCTGACTAGCAAAATGCCCTAGTGTAGAGCAGGACATCCTGGTATTTTTGGCATACTGCATTTGACATATTGGGACATACTAAATCTTTTTCTGTAAATAGTATGGTATTATGGGTTTTGGAACCCAACCAAGGAAACTGGCAATGAGCTCTGCTGGCAGCAGGACTAGTTGCTATCAAAGCCGCTGTTTGTAGCTATTGGCTAAGCCTAGCATTGGGTCAGTATGGTAGAATGGTAACCTGCCTGATTGGCTGTACTGAGGCCTTATTTGAAGAAGATGGTTTACCTGGTTTACTTTTCACCTTGTAAGCCATCATGGTGCTTACTTAAACAATTCCCCCCTGACCTTCTGACATGTGGCATGTGACTGAACTTCCTAACAGGTTTTAAGAAAGCATGCACAGTGATATTTTTGAATGACTCCAGTGAACAGGGTGTTAGGGAGTTCATCCCTCTCTGATGTAAGGTTATGTCACAGACTAAGCTGGTGTTCCTGGTAGGGCTCACTGGCAAACAGGCATATAGTGACCCGTGGCTGCTCTACTTGGGAAGAGAGCTGTGTGGAAGAAAGGGTTATGCATTCAGTAAGACATCTGTGGTTTAATGCAGTGCTCCACTTTCTCCAGTCTAATTGTGCACGTTCATTAATCACACTACTCTGCTTTATTGGCCCATTGAATGCCTTTTTGGGAACCCATATGTATTGAATTGTCGTTTCCTGAATGTAACCCTTAAGCTTTTTTATGAATGGCATTTTGTTCAAACATTTTTTTCTGGGCCAGCTAGCCAAGTTGCTACACTACAGTGGTTTCAGTGTGGTGGGATAGTTGACTATGCAAGCAAATGTAACTTGTTGAACCTATTAAAGCTGAATGTAAATGGTTAATGAAGAAATTAACTACGCTAACAGAAGGTCCTCAGTTTATAGTTAGTTCTGTAGCCAGTTTGCTCATAGGTCTAAGTCACATTCTCATGACTATTCAAATATATGTAATGAAGAATAAGATGTCGCTGTTCTGTGGATTGTCAACATTGTCGTCTTCATGCAAGCTCACTGAGCATCGTCATCTGCCCTTGACTGTCCTGCACTATAAAGGAGAACGTGTAACTTTATTTCCCTTGTGCAGTCATTTGTGTGTCACCTCAGATACTGAGATGTTCTGCATGTGTCTGTGCACACAGTGGTAATCACATGCACTCCCGCAGGGGATCCTGTCATCTTTTATTGGTGTCATAACCTATTCCCACTTGTGTCTTTAACAAATAGATTTTGATAATAACTACACTATTACAACTACTTCAGTTGGGCCCATACATCACCTGAATGAAATCAGTTGCCTCTTGTACACAAACTTGTGTAACTTTGCCCTTTTATAGTCATTGCCGGTATGACTGGCTGTATTTGTTTATATCAAAACACACTACAAGTGTCTTTTTAAAAATGTTTACATTTTAGAGACAAGTTTTTGGAGTTGCAGAATGCCATCTTAATGTTGGTGGAAGGCCATATTAGATATATTATTAGAATAAATATACACAGCATTAAAAACGCACATCTGGAGTCACAGTGACCATGCTAGCATTTGCCAGCTGTGGCTGTCTTCTGCAGCA